TAATTCGTATCTGAGGCTTCATACACCTGTCATACACCTGTCTATGTACAGAGAAAAAACTATTTTGCACAGTTATCCAGTATTCTACTATGCATGTTCTGAACAAATAATTAGGACATTGGGTCTGCTTGGTCTGGTGCTGGGAAGGTGATATCTCTGCTCTCTGCGTGGCAGTGCTGACGAATCTGTTGGTGCAAGTACTTTGCAAGTTGCAGTGAGATTCCAGCCGTCTTGAGCGTCACTGGCAGATGATCAGATGCCAGGCAGTAATACACTTTTGATAAAGGTCACGGGCCACGTTAGCTTCTTCAATATGAGCTTTGAGTGCGTCAGTGTGCTTATAAGCGAGTTTCTGCCATGCTTGCCCTTACGATCTGAGACTGCAGATCTGAACATACACCGCACACATATTTTGATTATTATCACATCACTGCACTCGCTGCTCCATATTTTCAGGAATGTTGTGTATGCTGCTGTTCCTCCAGCCTTGATATATTCAGTATGCACATGCTTCTTGGTAGTAGCACATGGCACTGGCAGGTAAGTAATAGTTGGAGCAGGCCTCTGGGGGCAGCAGGCTGGGGAAGTCCATTGATGTCACCAAAGGCAAAGTTGCAGGCAGTGCATTCCAGGGCAAAGTACCCTCACAATCACATGCGTGCTGAGGGGGAGGGACAGCATGCTCATACTCATAGACATCCGCCTTAATTTTGTTTTAGCTTCCACTCCTTTACATAATGTGCGTACATGAAAACAGTCTGGCACACTTCGTCACCATCCACTTCATAGCAATAAGTGGATCGGAAGTTCGGAACCTTTCTCCGCGCTGCATCCGGTGTGCAATGCTTCCATGGAGAGAAGACTAACTGCACCGCGTCGTCTTTATCTCAACAAATCGAGCTTTCCAGCGACGTAACCAGTAACAGTACAGCTCCTCGTTCGTCATTGCGAGCGCTGTGTTGCGTGCAGTGAGTAGAGTATCCGGTGACACGTTCTTGAAACAGTTGACATCGGCACAACTGCAGCCCTTGTCCACTCGCGCCTGTACCTCTTCAACAGTACTGGGCGCCGCCTGGGCACGGGATTTCTTAGGTTGGCCCTGTCCTCCGGCGGCGAGGGCTTGTGCTGGCTGTAGCGCTGGCGCCTCGTCCAAATTCTCCTCCGCATCGATCGCAAGCGCGATCGGCAGGGTCACGAGCGGAGAGGCGTCGGTCGATTCGTCATCGCTCTGGTCGTCAGAATCTTGATCTGACCACCCGAAGAACGATCTATCGTCATTTGGCAGTGCTGACGACTCCGCTGCCGAGAATCCGACAACAATTTGTGCGAACGAGCGCCTTCGTCCTCCTTCCGCCATGACTGTCACCTGCGATGATGAGAAAATCGAGACGTGCTGACGTTTTCATCATTTTCTCCGAAAAATTACACAGCACCGAAGGGTGGTTTTAGCAGATCGCGGGCCATATGGCTCATGTTTTATTATAAAATCTGTACTTTTCCGCCTATCTTTACTCTTCTGCACGCATGCTGGGTATGGATCCTTCCCCTAGAAGAGACGCTGTGCTGTTTTGATGTAGGCACATGATGCTCAATATTTGAGATTGTTTATTCCTATAATATTATGTAGATGTCTACCTCTGGTCTCATTTGTATAGACCCGTTCAAGTCCCCGTCAAAATGTTTAAAATCTTCTAATAAAAAGATTATCTCAATGTTCATTTGCTGGAGGGAAATGTGGAAAGGGGGAAATGATTGTGACCACCAGGACTCCAACCTGATACAATCGATTATGCCCAGCTATACTCTACCACTAATCACTCTACCACTACTAGTCATCCAAGCAGCGACTGATCAACATTTTCCTCAGACTTAGAAACTCTCGCTTCCTGTGAAACCACAAAACCACAACAAAACCACAAAATCTAGTGGGATGCAAGGAACGTACATGACGTTTAGGATTTAAATGTGTTGTTTTTACATCTTGCAAAACTCAGGTTTTTCATGATATAAGTGCACGACGACGAAGATTAACACTTCGTTCAGTGGTTTCTCAACTTTGATTATATAATCTTGTTACCTTTCTGCGATTCCTCTTGTTGGTTTAGTGCATTTGAATCATGATATTATGTGGCATTTCTAACACCTCAGGATTTACATTCCGCTTATATCAGATTCTTTCTACGAAATAATCTAGCTCCACCGAAAGTGTCAACAGTTATAACGTGTCGAGGTGGCAAGAAGACCATATCAATGCTTAGAACTGGGCATAGTGTACTAGATCATACATAACATATAATCAGCACTGCCTATATTATCATAATACTCATAAAAAGGACACACTTAAGGCTCATTACAAACATCTTGAAAGTTTTTGTCTTCACACGTATACTTTCAAGCCTTCTCGTCAGGTGAAATTAAGGCAAGGGAAAGGAACAGGAACAGTGGATTAAAAACAGTAAGAAGGTGATAAAACAGCGAAAAAAAAGATAGCTAAAGTAAACAGCGAAAGTTGCAATAATGACACAAAGATGCAGGTGCGAGAAAACTCAATACGCGTGACATGCAGTGCGACAACAAGAGACAACCACTGGACATACATGTAAATAACGAGGTTTTGACGACCTACCTAACAGCCTAAGTATTTCACCTGACGAGAAGGCTTGAAAGTATACTTGTGAAGACAAAAAATTTCAAGATGTTTGCAATGAGCCTGAAGTGTGTCCTTTTTATGAGTATTAACGCATTTTTGTCTCAGAGGAAACTGCTTATCTATATTAAGACTTATCACAGGAGACGATAATAAACCATGCATCTATTCATAGCAGACACTTTGTTGTCATCTTCGAACAGCAAAGTGTCTTTGATTGCATCACCTTTTGTCAGGTGTTGCAGAGTCAGCATGAAGCTTGGGTGATCTCATGTCTCGCGCTAAGGTGAAAATAATTATGGAAATAGATAGATTGTGCATGTGTGTTTGCGTTTGTGTTGGGGTTTGAGTGTGTATGTGTGTGTGTAAACTAATAATAATACTAATAATAATATAGCTTCAAAGACAACTAATTGCACAGTAAGCATTTCATTATGTCGATATGTATGTGTAAAATGTTGTACGATTATCGCAAGGCACACAACGAAAGGGAAAGCGAGGTTTTGTTCAGAACTGTTTTCTTGTTACAATCATCAGTGAACCTACGGAACAATGGAATGGAGACTACTTGAAACTAATCTTTTATGGACAGATAAAAGTGAAAGAAGTGGAAAAAGAGCGAAACAAAAAGGTGATAATCGTACAACGTTTTACACATCCATGTCGGCATATATGAAATGTTTACGGTGCAATTAGTTGTCTTTGTAGCTAAATTAAAACCCCTGTCTCCGAAACGCTTGTTCACTAATAATACTACAAAAAAATGTATTGGCTACGAATGCACCTGCGAATTAGGACATGTGTCAAAAAGTATTGAACGTTTTCGTTCCCTTCTTCTCAAAATACTACAGGGAATGATGAAAATATGCTAAGAGACTACAGCTATAACTAAAGGAATTTCCGAGATACATCACTCCAATAATTTGTAGAAGTGACAAGGGAAAAAATAGATGTGAATAGTCAAGAAAACAGCATACATGATCCAATCAGTGACAAAAAACATATTGACAAGAAAAGAGAGAAAATATCAAGAGATTATGGGATCTATTTCGCATCTTCACGACGAACAGTGCCAAACAACTGCAAAGACAACACATTCTCCTTCTGAACACAAAGCTCAGGTCCTAACTAACATATGTACAAAGCTTCCAACATGGCAAGAACATATTCCCTCTTTTTATTACCACTACATTTTGGTCGTTGGCCTTGAAATGAAAATGTAATTTCTGATCAGTAGTTGTAACCCTCATGCTGAACAGAAATTATGCCAACCCAAATGGGTTGGCATAATTTCTCCCCGGTCAGATTGTTCCGATCGGAAAGGGTGGTGGAAGGTGTTTACATCTAGATACGTTCAAGCAGCATGCATGCCAGATATCTTTTACTAGTGGTGTTTGTGCATAGTGGACAAATCAATATATTCATTGGGTTGAAATCATCTGAGGAAAATCGGTTGCTCCCCACAACAGAGCTCGCGCTTTCCGCCGACTGACTTGATACCTGGCTAAAGAGTGGTGATATTTTGCAGGCTAGCTTGATTCGAAATTTCGGTTGACTTCTTGTGTACTCTTGGTGGCAATCATGAGTTGATAAAATCAAGTCAGTAGGCGAATAGAGCAAGCCCCGGTGTGAGGAACAAAAACTTTCCATATGAAGTAATCGCCGAAGTTGCTAACAGTAATTGCCTGTTGGTATCTTCGTTACTTCTGTCTTCACCACAACTTGCTTCACCAACTATAGCAAGGCCAATAACACGGGAAATACATTAGCTGTAGTTTTAATTTTCATGTTTTTAGTGCGCACGCAACACACTCTTTTGTCTTTTCATTGCGTGAACAACTGTAACATGATAAAAGAACAATGATATTCAATGCATATCAGTGCCGAAAGCGGAGGTTAATGTTGAAGATCATGACATTGTCACATCTTGTAAACCCTTCCTATAATATCTCCCTCTACGCTAAAGAACCTCCATAAAACTGTGTCTCAATTCATATATATTTTTAGCAACAAAGACTCTCTGTTGCACTTTCTCAAGTCTGGTGCGTGCCATGCATGTTTCACATTTTTCGATTCCAAATGAGGTGTGAAGGTAAAGACGAAATTTGAGAGATAGTTCATGGTGGGGAATTTTGTATGTGTGTGTAAGTGTGTGTATATCTGCGCGCGTTACATGACAAGAATTACTTCGAAGTATACACATTGTGTCAGGTAAAGGGACAGTGCTAGAAATAGATGTGAACTGTATTAACATGACGACTTGGCACACTGTACATCTACTTACTAAGGGGAACACCAGCTACTACTCATTACAAAACTATTGGCTACGACCAGGAAGAGTTGTCTTCCTATTTCAATTGTTGATATTGAATTCGAATAACCAGCTGCTACTCATTACAAAACTTTTGGCTACGACCAGGAAGAGTTGTCTTCCTATTTGAATTGTTGATATTGAATTCGAATACCTTGCCGAATTTGGAAGGAGAATTAATTTGAAAAGGTGGTGAAAATTGGTCAAGGAAGTGAATCATGGACGATAGTGACTGCACTTCGGAGGGGTGTGTCGACTATGATGCACAATCACCATCGCCACCATTAGTGATATGGACAAGCAGAAGGGCAGTTCCACCGCCAGCTACATTACCTTACAATGCACCTTACACAGCTCTATACCCCGCAAACCACGATAGTGGTGAACAAATAGCGACCGCACAGGTCTCCTATAGTTCTATTCAGGGTTCCTCATTCAGTTCTTGGAACACACAAACGTCTTCCTTCGGTGTACTTCAAGATTATCGGCTGAAGAGCGTTGCTGACAACGTCATGGACCCCCGACCCGACATCCAGAGGGCGAAAGATACAAAGCCCAGTGAAGCTCCAACCACAGCTGTCTTAAACCCATGTTTGGATCCCATGACATTGGCAATGGACGACGATCACTGTACGCGAGACAACAGTAAAGCAACTGTAAACTATTCCGTTCCCGTTTCAGATCACTACACAGGCAGTGGGAACGTAACGTTAAACTCGGAGTATAGCAATTTCTCAAGCAATGCTGGCAATGTTAACGTTAACGGAGGCCGCAGAGTACATATTGCCGGATATGTGCCAGTGTCTTCCCAAGTGGCTAGCTTACCTGAGGATCCCAAGAATCACAATCGTGAAAGGATCAACAATCATCACACCTCAGAGCCGTTTTCTGAGGCAGTTTGTCAACTTCAAACTAACCATCGTCAACCGGAAACGTCACTCTGCGAGGAAACCGGGAAGTCACCTGATCGCCGGCATGATCCGCTAGATCGTGCACATTCACATCCTGGAGAAAAAACGTATAAACGTAAGCATTGCGATAAATTCTTATCTACTCAGTCTTGCGTAACATCTCATGAATGTCCACATCCTGAAGAGAAATCGCTCGATTGTAACTTGTGTGATAAAACGTTCAATAAGCTACCTCATCTTACACGTCATGGACGAGTTCACTCTGTTGAGAAACCATTTCCGTGCAAATACTGCGCCAAGCCGTTCGGTGACAAATCCGCTCTAAATGTTCATGAACGTATCCATACCGGAGAGAAGCCGTTCAGGTGTGGTTACTGTGATCAAATGTTTCGCCGTAATACCCATCTTAGAGTTCATGAACGTACCCATACTGGAGAGAGACCATACAAGTGTAAATCGTGCGAGAAGTCATTCACGACGAAATCAGATCTCACCGTGCATCAACGCATCCATACTGGAGAGAGACCATACGAGTGTAAATCGTGCGACAAGTCATTCACGACGAAAGCAAAGCTCACCGTGCATCAACGCATCCATACTGGAGAGAGACCACAGAAGTGTAACTTGTGTGACAAGTCATTCACGACGAAATCAAATCTCACAGTGCATCAGCGCATCCATACTGGTGAGAAACCATACAAGTGTACAGCATGTGGCAAAGACTTCCGAACAATATCAACTCTCGCAAATCATCAACGAATCCACACTCCTGAGAGAACCTGATCAAGTGTCAGCTATGGTGACAAGTCTTTCAATTTGAAAAACAACATGGAAGACCATGCAAATACAAACACCGTAAAACAGAAAGATTGTTTTCAAGATTTTTGAAAGTGCTACTCATAGGCCAGTTTCGAACCGCAAGTAGAATAAAATCAATGTCGCTTAAAGCCCGATCCGTTATGCATGCAAAGGTCTCTACTTACATGCTAACTTCAACATAATACGTAAGGTCCAAACCATTATCATTGCCATTTTACTCCGAGTGATATCCACTATTTCATTTCTTGCTTTCCATTGCACTTCTTACAGAAAAGGAACGTGTTTCCATATTTACCATGACACTCAATTGCGCTGAACGGTTTTTTTGGATACATCAGTCAAGCTTTATAACCGAAACCTATTGCTGGAGCACGCATGCCTGGTACGGATCTTTTCGCTGGAAGAGGTACTCTACTGTTTGCATGTTCGGCTATGATGCTAAAATCTTATTCATGTATGAACTCTTGGTTCCATGTGTCATCCTGTATAGTAACGATCTACTTCTTATCAAAAATATTCGAATACTATCTCACTGTCCATTTGTTTGCTGAAAATGTGTAAACGGGAAATTTGACTGTCACTACCAGAACTCAAACTTGGGACCCATTCATATAGCCAGCGATGCTCCCTCTTGATAGCTGAGAACGTAAAACATATCTTACTCCACTGCATCAGACCAGTGTGAGGTTGATAGGTTGACTACTAGAGTCACAGTTAGGATGCACCGCCAGTGCTGGATGTGCCAAATGCCAAATGCAATAGAGAATATGGTATTTGTGATGCTTATCATAGCAGGACAAAGCCAGGTCGTCGCAACTCAGGGTTTCTCGCTCTAGAATCAGTTTCATGATGATTAGTGTGCAAATTATGGTAACCTTTAATTGGCATTATCACTCTCTTAGTATTGACTTCCATTGATTTTCGCTATACCTAAGCAATGAAATATTCCTGCATATTTCACTCCTTAGGGCTATATTGACTGCTTATATTTGACTGCTTAGGGGTTCTTACGGACAGAGGAAGACCTTAAAAACCCCATAAAGCAGACAGAGGTACATACCGCAGCTAAGCGCTTGAATAATGGCCGAGCTTCGGGACCAGATGGGATACCTGCTGAACTTATCAAATATGGAACACCAGCACTGTTCTCGAACATTGCCACCACATTTAACAATTATGCCAAAGACAAATCACTCAAGCTAGGCGATGAGCTACTGATCCCGATACCAAAGCCGGGAAAGAAAAGAGGTCCTCCTGGAAATGTAAAGCCAGTTACCCTGTTGAACACCCTACGGAAACTTCTTTCATTCGTCATCCTGACGCGGATCAAGCCAGCTATCAACGGGTACTTGTCACTGAACCAGAGCGGGTTCCGGTCAGGGAGAAGTACTGGAGACGTGGTATATAGCTATCGGTGGTCATCAGCAAGATGCCAACGGGTTGCGTCGGAGATCTCAATCTTAGGCATTGATATGTCAAAGGCATTTGACACTATATCGAGGGTCAAGCTGATCGATATACTGTCATCAGTCATTGATCATGATGAGCCGCACATCATCCGGTGCCTTCTGACAGACACCACAATAAAAGTAAAGGTGAATATCATTCTCAGCCAACCATTAGTCACACATAATGGAACCCCAGAAGGTAATTCTCTATCGCCAGTCCTGTTTACTGTCTACCTCGAGGCTGCATTGAGGTTGATTCGAGAGCGACTCTCACCGCGACCAGCATTGGATAATCAGCTTCAATTGCCCAATGAAACAGCGTATGCGGATGACGTAGACTTCATCAGCACCAGCCTACAATAATTGCACGACAATCAACCCATACTATCATCCTCGTTAGCGGAATACAATCTAAAAATTAATGAAGCCAAAACCGAATATACTACAATTTTAAAAGGAGAAAAGGACAGAGTAGACGAGCGATGGCGGAACAAGGTCAAACTGAGATCGATGCTTGGAGTGGCGGAAGATATCAGTCGGAGAAAACGTCTAGCAACATGTGCCTTACATCAGCTGTGGGTGATGTGGCTAAGAGGTAACCATGCGCGTGAACCCCTTCGGATTAGGTTATACAGCAGCTTTATTCTCCCAATACTTCTTTATAACTGCGGAACATGGAGCCTGACAGAGACTCAAGAAAAGAAACTTGACTCGTTCCACCGCCAGCAGTTGCGAGCAGTCATAGGGGTCAAATATCCCCGTATAATACGCAATGAAGCACTGTACAAGCGCACTGGCTCCAAGCCACTCAGCAGAATCATCCAGTCTGCTAGGTGGAGAATGCTTGGCCACATGCTTCAACTCGACACCTCATCCCCGGTCTAGCAGGCTATGTCAGCATACTTTCAACCAGGAACCTCAGGGTTCCGAGGCTGCCCAAGAACAACCTACCGCGATCTATCAACAACGACCTGAAAATTCCAGATCCACAAACTCCCTCACATCACACGAGGATCTAGTTGCACTGAGGCAGCTCGCCTAGGATCGTCGAAAGTGGAAGGAACTTATGTGTGCTGTGTGTAGTGGCTGAAGTTATACAATTACACTAGATACTCTAACAATAATATCGGATACAATTACACTAGATACTCTAGATACTAGATACTCTAGATACTCTAAAAATGTATCACTAATTATGATAATAATTACCACGTCAAATGCTGCAGAGACCTATCCAGAATCGGCAATATGCTGGCCCTGGCCTAGAGATCTGCAACTGCAAACTGTTTCTACTTTGCAATATTAACGGATTAGTGCCCTTTCTCGATCGATGGATCAATCGGAACCAATGCATTCGTCACTCCGATTAGTAACTTCGGCTCTGCTCTGTTTTGTTCTGAACTGTATACATGTATGTTTAACTCATTGGATTTCTTTGTATTCTGTATCTCGTTATCGTTATCTTTTCCTCTAGCCCTCTCCCTTAGGATGAGCTTTCTTTTTTATGGCAGCTTAAGCGAAGGCTATATACCTGCTTCATGCAGGTTGATACCAACGCGAACAAGCAAAATAATAATAATAATAATAATCTTCACTAGTCTGAGGGAAAGAGACAAACGGGAAAAGTCTGAAGAAAAAATTGACTGTCACCACCAGGACTCGAACCAGGGACCCTCGCTTGTAGCTAGCGATGCTCTAACCACTGAGCTATGGTGTAGTAATAATAATAATAATAATAATAATAATAATTTAACAAGAAGTCGGAGGCGGATAATACTTTAATAACGAAGGCACGTGTTGGGTCGTAAGTATCCACGCAAACACACATCCAGTCAAAATAAGGCACTTGTCAAAGTATCCGAACGTTTTCGGTCCCTTCTTCAGTGTGAAAAAGGATGTTCCACCTACCCTTAGTAAAAGTAACCTTATCTATTTCTTTCAATGCCGACAATGTGAAGATCGGTATGTAGGTAGAACCCTTCAGCACCTGGGCGCGCGCATCCGTCAACATGTGCCGTTAAGTTTTGTTCCGCTTGATGCGCGTGAGTGTCGTCCTCGCCGTGGTCGTCCTCCAAAATGTGCTGTCCAGTCCATCGGTGGATCTTCCTCTTCCTGTGAAGATATCACTGCATTCCCGTCCTCCTCCGCGTGTATAGCGCAGGGTCCAGCTGAGAACAGCGTGAAAGATGGTGAAAGACCGACACGTAAACCACCGAAATTGACAAAGGATCTGTCTGCGTCGGGAAGGGTAACGCGAAGCCAAGTAAAAATACGGACTGGTGAGGACGCACGTACAACGACAACGGAAATGACAACAACAGTCAATATTCGAAAACTTGGTAGACCGCGAAAACGAACCTCAATATCGAACACCGGACAAGATGGAGTAAGAAGATCAATAGAAATCCGCAATGGAGGAGACGTAGCTGAAAGGACACTGGGCATCGCGCGCACAACGGCTAGTGTCAGAAAACGTGGAAGGCCGCGGAAAAGCAAAGAGACGGATAGTGGTGATGCCGCGAAGAGGCGAGATGACGGGACATTGGAGGAGACTACACCCAACGGAGCTAAGAATCGCACTTCGTCCATCAAGCAACATCTGTCAGCCCGTACCAATTGTCGTGAGTTGTACAGTGATAATGTGTTCTCAATATTGTCACGTGGTAGATGTGCGTTGCATCTGGCTGTGTTAGAAGCTTTGTATATCCGTAAGTTAGATCCTGAACTTTGCGTACAGAAAGAAAATGTGTTGTCGCTACAATTGTTTGGTGTTACTCCTTGTCCAGGTGTTAACAATGTAACTTAATTTGCTCACTATGTTCTTGTCGCTATTATTATTTCCTTCGAGTTTTGTGTCGTGCTGAACTTGATACTTTTTCCACCTTGTCACGAGTGTTGTTATCTCATATCTTTACGCTATATAAGTTTTAGTCTTTCCAACTTGAGCCATTCCCTGTATAATCCTTGATGAGAAGGGACCGAAAACGTTCGGATACTTTGACAAGTGCCTTATTTTGACTGGATGTGTGTTTGCGTGGATACTTACGACCCAACACGTACCTTCGTTATTAAAATAATAATAATATAATATTAACTGGTTTGAGGGAAAGAGACAAACGGGAAAAGTCTGAAGAAAAAACTGACTGTCACCACCACGACTCGAACCAGGGACCCTCGCTTGTAGCCAGCGATGCTCTAACCACTGAGCTATGGTGTAGTCGTCATCCCAGCAGAGACCGTTCAACGTTTTCTTCAGACTTCGTAACTCACACTTCCTGTGAATCCACGCAGGCGGGTGGGACGCAGCCCTCACTGTAACCCACACACTTCACGTACAAACTAGCACGCGGGGAGCCCCAAGTCATAAAATATTAACTGGTTTGAGGGAAAGAGACAAACGGGAAAAGTCTGAAGAAAAAACTGACTGTCACCACCAGGACTCGAACCAGGGACCCTCGCTTGTAGCCAGCGATGCTCTAACCACTGAGCTATGGTGTAGTCGTCATCCCAGCAGAGACCGTTCAACGTTTTCTTCAGACTTCGTAACTCACACTTCCTGTGAATCCACACAGGCGGGTGGGACGCAACCCTCACTGTAACCAACACACTTCACGTACAAACTAGCACGCGGGGAGCCCCAAGTCATAAAAAATTAACTGGTTTGAGGGAAAGAGACAAACGGGAAAAGTCTGAAGAAAAAACTGACTGTCAATAATAATAATAATAATAATTAGGGGTTGCGCAGTGGACCGTATGCGTGTTAAAACAAAATGGCGTCACGATTTATTGAAAGTGGTATAGTTGGTGGTACGAATGTTCAAACCCATTTGAACTTCATACTGTTCGTCTTCTTTTTGACATGCTCTCTTTCCATCGTCCTTAGCTTTTGTTTGTTGAGAGCTGTTTTGGCTTTCTCCTATACCTCTGGGGGATGCCAAGTGATGGTTTTGAGAGGCTGGTGATAGCTGTGAGCGAGAGTTTTCCGATCGGCGTCGTCCTCGCTATAGCGATGAAAATACTAGTTACTGCGCACCTGGCAGATATCACAACACGTCGGAGCGTCCAGGAGCAAAGGAATCTTGGGTTTTC